AAAAAAAAAAAAAAAAAAAAAAAAAAAAAAAAAAAACTCGAAAGAGAAATATTGTAACACACGACAGATTGATCAGGCGATCAGCCTGCACTGTCGTCAAATCTTTGTACTGCCATGCTGCTCCAGACTCACTCACAACTGAGTGTGAGGGTCTCATTCCCCAAGAACTGCAGACCTCAGATTGAGGAGGAGGAGGAGAGGGGGGAAGGGTATCTCTACGCTATCCCACCCCCACGCTACTCCGGTTCTGACTTAATGAACAGCCCTCCTTCACATTTCCAGCCGCATATCTGCCAACTTCATATTCCACCACATATCTGCCAACTTCATATTCCACCACATGAGACACCCACACATATGTCCTTGCGATGGCTATCCACGGCTGGACACATGAACGCCGCGTTGCCAGTTGCAGACCTGCTGCAAGCCGAGCCATGCGTGACTGGCACCAGAGGTTTCAACCCACCGGCCCTTGCCACCTTGCTTATGCTGAAGACGCCTGTAAAACCAATTCAGCATGCTCACTAACACCACCACAGTGACTGCCATATGCGCCACCCCTTGCCCCATTGCAGCCGTCGGTGCCGGGGGGGCATGGCCACCATTCCACACATGCCGAGAACATCCAGCTAAACTTCGAACAACCTCTGTGTGAAATCATGGGTACGTGCAGGAGGCAGCGCGCCACGTAGCGCTGCGCCTTGCCCAGCGGATCGTGCGAGTGCGCCCCCTCACGACCTTACTGTTGAAAACCAAGGAAAGAGAAAGATGACAAAAAATGAACAAAATGATGACTTTACAGAAACCCAGAGAGCGGCAGAGACCAACCACTTAGGAAAAAGCTTTTAATGCTACCTGGACCCTCCCGTGTTTTCCATCCCTTTTGACTCTAAATTCGAGGAAGTACAGTCCAGCTTGCCATGGCTCTCAAAGCAGACGTCGGTGTAGACCTTCCTCCTCTTTTTTTTTTTCATCATCTTCTGAGTTAGATTTCCTCAGAGCAGCACGGTCACATAGGCTATGCCAACGTCGCTCCCACTCCAGCGCAAATATCACACGAAGTAGCACTCAGGCGCCCCGGTTATGCTTCCTTGGTTGCTGTGCTGACCCATGGATTGAGTCAATCACGACTTGGCCCACTGCTCGAATAGGTGCTGAAAACCAACCCCACATTCTCTCTTTCAATGGAGCACTCTGCAGCGGCTTCTTCACTACAACTTCACTGTAAGAGAATTGCCTGGCACGGAGATCCTCAAATGCCTCCATTGCACCCTTGATTTTTGAGCCACAGATCTTGAGTGCAAAGAGATGCTGTACATTGCTCTGGATGTCCTCGGGGGTGATGAGGGCGGTGGAGATTGCTGCCGTTGCCGGGTTATCGCTCATGCCAATGTCACTTTGGGCATCGCTGAGCAACCTAACCTGCTCGATGTGGTCTTGCTTGAGCTTCAGCAACCCTTCTCGAATCTCAGGGTTGCTCCTGCCTTCTGCTTGAAGGTCCTGTTCTTGCTTTATGAGGTGGTCTAAGTACTCTACCGTAGAGTCGTTGTACATTGTGATGGCATTTCTCTTCAGAAAAACGCAGAATCGTGCGAGAGCCGTCCTTATGACTTGCTGTTCTTCATCCAACGTCTTCTCCTCCTCCTCCATCTGCCAAATACATCTCTGGTACTCTATTTGAGCATCTTCAATCGTCTTGATCTGTGATTGGACGTGGTCGTCCCTCTGCTCTTCATGCACAAGCCTCGTCTCATGCATGATGTACATGTGCAGACTCCAGTCACACCGGCAGTTACGGCACTTGCCGTTCCATCCCATTGTCTGGCACCACCATACCGTATGGAGGTTTACTTTCTCCATCTCTGGCGGAAAAAACCACCACCCTTTTGCATGGCATGGACTGCAACAGCGGTTCTTGTAGTGATAACTGTGAATTCCATTCACAGTGACAGTCTCTCGGCACGTCGAGCCTGTACACACCATTGCAGGGTGGGGGAGCTTGATGTACTTCACGTTGACTGTCGGGACGTACAACTTCGATTTGAGCTCTTCCAGGTTTGTAGAGGAAACGTCTTCTCTGCGCTTCTCCACAATGGCTTTTTTGTTGGCCAGGATGGCCTTACTGATGTCTGTCAGTGGCTCCAGCAGATTGTCTATCAGACGGCGTGCCTCGTTGATGGAGACCGTGTGCTGCACTATGTGTGGAGGTAGAGTCAGGAGGCGATCCATCAGCCGTCGCGACTCCTGAGACGACTTTGTCCAACTCTTTGCAAAATCTGACTTCTCCTCGTCGGTGAATTTCACGCCCTGTTTTACAGCTGCGAGAAACCGAAATGCTTCACTATCGAGGCAGTAGATGGTGTCCTTGCTCAAAGGGATGTCGACGTAGGGTGGCGAGTGGCGGATCTTGTTGAGCATCTCTTGCAGGGGCAGCATCGTGTCTCCTGGCCGATAGTTGGTGGAGCGGGAGTTTGTGAACATAAACACCATGCTGTCCTTGGCACTCTTATGGAGATGGGAAAGCAACTCGTTAATGCAGAATCGGAACATGATGTTCAGCCGGGCATTGTTTGGCTTCAGTAGGATGCAAATGCCGTGGATCTGCTTGTGATAGCTCACGAATCGTAGGATATTGTCGAAGTTCTTTTTATCTGTCTCAATACCACGTGTGTCACCGATGCCAGGTGTGTCGATCAGACGGATCTCGTACTGTCCGTGATTGAAACGATAAGCTTGGCAGGATTGTGTGCTGGATTGGCCTGGAGAGGCATCCTCGTTGCTATCCCTTTTGCCGATCGACACGATCGTTGGTGTGTACGAGTCCATGTTGTAGACAGTGAATTGGGATGGTATCAGGGCCACCACGTCGTCCTTGACATGCTCCATCTCGTCAAATGTCAGATAATTAGCAAAGGCGTTAATGAAGGTGGACTTCCCAACGCCCGTCTCCCCCAGCAGCAGGATGTTGATCTCCTGCCTCATTGGCAGATTATTCAGCTCCTTGGTCAGGTCATCTGTCTCGCCGTAGCTCAGGTACCCACCATGGTGGTTGGAGTCCCGACATAGATAGGAGAGGGACTGCAGGCTATACCGACCACAGTTGCAGCACACGTGCCCATCCCAGTCGTATTCAACTTCCTCGTAACACTTGTTACAGTGCCAGACTTGCTTGTCCGAACAGCACTTCCCATGCATGGCACCAGGACACTTGATCTTAAGTGGTGTGGTGCCCTTGATGGGACCACCTTTGCTGATGCTCACCTCCTCTACGCTTGACTCAGCTTGGCTGCTGCATCTCACGAGACAGAGCCTTGTGATTGTGTCCATGAGTTCCGCAAGGTCCTCATGCACCAGTTTGCCCCTCATATAGAACCTTATCTCCGTCCTTGGAATGTGCCCTTCCTCAGCTGGTAGTGCTACACCTCCTCTGAATCTTTCGTGAGCCCATGATTCCTCTTTGATGGATGCCATCCTTCCCGTCTCCATCTCCGTCAGCAGTGGTGAAATCGAGCCTTGCAAACTCAACTCGCTTAGCAACATGTCGTGAGAATGAGCCCGTTGGAGCTCTACATAGTAAAAGAAAGGAGCATTGGTAACCATGCCGCTGCTCCCCTCTCCCGTGCGAGCTTGGCCGCCACCTCCACTGTCAACCACGAGGTGCTTCAACATCTCAACGTTCTTTCGCCAAAGCTCGCCATCTGGTGCTTCATGGTGATGCACCAGAACATAGGTACTGTCTTCCTTATGCCTGGTCGATATTTTCTGAAGGACCGATCCTTTGTCGCCGACGTGGGCGATGAACCCGATACCATTGGCTTTGAGATACTCCACAAATGAGACCTTGCACTTCAGACGGCGCTGTTGTTCAGCCACTAGATCGCGCAGCCTGCGCAGGCCCAGCCTGCCTCGAATGCTGTCCAGGGTAGTCCTTATATCACTTGAGTCCTGATCTCCCTGAGAGCGCCTTATGCGGATCGTCAGATTGCCCACTTCCTGCATGAGTGCTTCCACTGAGGTCGACAGTATTCTACCTAGGTTTTGGACACATTCGATATCATCAGATTTCGCAACAGCAGCTTCACTGTGACACCTCCTGGCTTTCTCCATTTCAGAGGGAAGGACTTCAACGGCTGCCTGGAGGTCGTGAAGCTCCTGGAACAGCTCCTCGGTTAGGGCTACGGTGTCCTTGTCTGGGTGGAGGGGCAGCAATGGACTGTCGCGGGACACACCTGTGGCGGCAGCACTGGGACCATAACAACTGTACTTCCCCACCCATCCACAAGGAGGGGAGAGTAGTACCTCTGCTAAAGGGGACAAGTATATGATGACAGGGACAGCCAGCCTTCGATTCTTGTCACGAATCTGCAACACTTCCCTCAGGACCTCCTCCAGATCTCGTAGCGTTTGAGAAGCCCCTCCAGTTCCTTCTCGCGGAACGAAGTCTGCAAACATCCTGACCGTGAAGACAATCTCCTCCCCCTTCTCCTCCTCAACCTTCTCCTCCTCCTCCTCCTCCTTCTCTGCCTCACCTCCAGCCCTCCCGTCCTCTTGCTGGACAACACCAATGGTAGGATAGGTGATGAAGGCACCACCATCAGCACAAGAATCATTATCCTGGAGATCTTCTGCCACTCCCAGCTGCCTGCCTTTGCCGGTGGTTTTAGTCCGATCCGTGCTGGCAGACAGGTCCAGAGATGCCTGAATGGCCGTAAGACATTGGCTGAGTTTCTCCTGAAGAACATCCATCCGCAGCTCGGCGGCATTGGCACCTGCTGGGTTGACCGTGACAGACACGACGAGAGTAGCTCCGAGAACGATCCTGCTGACAAAATGTGTCGCCATTCCCGTAGCATTTGGGCTCACAGCAAGGATGGACGCGATCTCTTCTGACATTCGTTGAGCACAGGCGGAGGATAGATCCAGGTTGAGTTCGCTCGCAATCACCTGGCAGAAAAGAGTGGCCTTGGCACAACCTCTCCTGCCCCCTGCAGTTGTGCTCCCAATCGGGTCTCGTTCCACAAGGAATCTCCCTGCTCCCTCAGGAGTCAGCAGACCCCCAAGTATGCTCATCTTCAGTGGAGAGCTCACCCCAAGGGTCTGAAATCTCGCTGATAATGAATCATCAAACGTGTAGCTTGTGCGAACAGATGGACATGCCGTGGTCAGGACATCGGCACTTTTCGACAAGACTGTGATGTTTCTGCCGTTTTCTTGACAGAACGAGTCGGTGCAAATGTCATACAGATCCCCAAGACTGGCTCTTCGACCCAGAGCACTTCGTTCAATCACAACTTTGCCACTGCGGCTACGGAAGCCACCCACGCTGCTGCCAGTGTCACACTGTTCTCCTCCGGGGCGGTTTGAATCCATCATCCCCATCGTAGGGCGTCCTACCTCACCCCACCTCAGCCACTTAGCACAGTGCAGTTTACTGCAGTGCAATGCAGTAATATGCTTTGAGACCAGCGATAATAAGCAATTCACACAGTGGCATACACTGCAGTGCAGTCCTCAGTCCGCCTGTTACTTGGCGCTCGTTAAAATCCTGCAAGCACAAGGCCAGTCCATGTATAAATATATGCATATATGCATTATATTTAAAAATATATATATATATATATATATATATATACATATATATATTATATATAATGAGTTGGTGAAACTCCAGCGAAACAGTTTGTCACAGCCCCTTGCTTGTTGTCCTCTTCTCCCTCTCTGCCTATGGTTTACCAGACAGCTGTGTTTGACTATATATATATGTTCCATTTGAGCAATTCACACAGAGGCGTACACTGCACTGCAAACTGCAGTTGATCCGTTACTTTGGGCTTTTTTGAAATCCTGCAACCACAAGGCCAGTCAATACATAAATAAAGAAATATAATATATTTTATACATATATACAGGGTGGCAGGTGTTCAGGATAGGCCGAACGCCCGAACCCGAACGACTGAACGTACGGGCCACCTTGGGGATGCGTTCGGCCGTGCGGGCCGGACCCAAAAAAAAAAAAAAAAACTGAAAAAAACTGCGAGTATCTGAGTCCTCAGCAGGGTTGAGGGGCCCCTGTTGCACATGTGCCCGCCCTAAGTGAAGGCGGGTCTAGCAAATCACGAGAGGCCCTTGGCTGTCAATTCCGTATTTGGGTCCAGACAGTTGCAACGTGCCAGTTGGTTGAAGGAAACACAGGCCGAGCAGCAAGGAAATACCACGGCCTCCAGGCCTTTCCGGAAGTGCAGACCCTGGGCAAGAATCGCAGCCTCATACACAGACAGTTGGGAGGCCCAACCGAATGAGGCCCAGTAGCCGCTGCAGAGGAGCAGCGTACTGGGGCCTACCGGAAGCTTCTGGGGCAAGGCCCAGGCCAGCCAGGCCTTCAATCGAGGCAGGCTCTTTCCATCTAGGAAAGAGCTCTCTGCCTGGCTGGTCATTCGCGCACTTGCATGCTAGCGGCAGGCTCCCGCGAGCGTCCGCTCCAGCAGCGCGCTGCTGGAGCGGAAGCTCGCGGGCTGCTACTGGCGCTGACGCCGCTGAGAGGCAAGGTGCAGGCACATGCGGTCGTGTGAAGGTGAAGGGCGCTGCTGAGGGCAGCGCCATAGCCCAGCCTCCATAGCTGGCGGGCTTGGACTACAGTGAGGCGCAGGGGGTGGTCTTCAGGTGTACAGAGAGAAGACGTGGGTGTAAGACGAGGGAGAGAGGAAGGATGATGATGATGATGATGATGTGAGGGCACATACCTGGTATTGGCAATGGTCTGCTACGGGCGACATCTTCAAGTACTTCGTTGGCTGCTGACGTCAACAGTTGCATTGTCAATTAGTAGGCTAGTAGTAGCTGTGTAGGGAGTAGGCTGGGCGCCGAGCGCCAAGTAGGGAGAAGAGCCTGGATACATATGTTGGTGGTGGCGAGAGCAAGCTCTCATTGACATTGGTTTTCAGTGTTACGATTCTCCATTGGTGTCATATTGGTGCAATGCTGCTTTCTGAACAGTGTGATACCCTCTGGCTTTCAATGTGATTGTGCAATCTGAATATTGTCACCTCGCTGTTGCTCATGTTCCTTGCAAAAAGGTTATGCAGAAAAATAAAACGAACAACATTTGCCTGAGTGTTACATTCAAATTCCTTACCAAATTTAAAATAAAAATAAAATATGGAAAATAAATACTAATAATAAAAATAAGAAAGAATAAAAAGAGAATTAAAATTAGTGAGTAAAAGAGCACGTTTTCGACACCACCGTCTTTGGCGGTTTTTTTTGTTTTGTTTTGGCATACCCAAATGCCCTCAAAATTTACAGATGTGTACTTCACATAATTCAAGACTCATAAAAAAGTTTCAAAAAATAATAATTTTTTTTAGGCCCCAAAATTGCAAGGAGCCCGACTGTTCACAACTTGCCGGAGTGTCCCAGTTAACATGCACGTTACGCAGTTCACACAGATTGCATAAGTCTCACACGAGATACAATGGAAGATGAGTGGTAGCCAGGAAGAACAACTCAATTATCATAACCAGAGTTCAAAATGTATAGCGCCCACCAGTATTACAAGTCTTCTTCACTCAACATGAGGTCCAGGCCAGGCACTCAACAGCGCTAGCCTCCAATCATCAAGTATGGCGCTCAACAGGTAAGTAACATCAAGCTCTCTACTCTCTCTTCTTGCCTTGTCTTACTTCTCTCCCTCTCTGTCTTCTGTCCTGGTCTGCTCACACTCACCATGCACGCATACTCCCTAACACACGAGGATCTTCTCTGAATGCTACTCACTGGTATCTCCTATTGACTATCCCTACTAACTTACTAACTAGCACTGGCGCAGCTATGGCTGCCTTCCCTCAGCCAGCGCTCTCTTCTGTCTCTCCTTAGCGCTGCTTCTTCAGCCTAGTGCAGCTCACACACATCTGGCGCACAAGTGCCACGGCACTTCCACACACCCATGCGAAATGGGCATCTGCCAAATGAGGAGGCTGGCCAGTCCTTTATAGCGCTGGACTGGTCTAGCGAGATCTGAACTCGGCCTCCAGGGTCTGGGACTCCTGCCCAGTACCTGTTGTTGCAAAGTGTGTGTCCAAGTATCTTTTCCCCATGGTCCGCTGCTGCTGTTTTTGGACATCGGCCTGTCTTTTGGACTTTTGGTCTGAATCTGGACTGACCCGTGGGACTGTGCTTTGACTGGGACTGTGGCCTTTGACTTATTGACGAACAGACATGAGTGCTTTGACTGGGACTGTGGCCTTTGACTTATTGACGAACAGACATGACTTATTGTCAAACAGAAGTGACTCTATCTCAGCTTTGAAGTCTGTGTCCAGTACCTGTTCGCTTAGGACCTGCCGGTGACTGTTCAAAACGACTTTTCACTTCATTCTGGATGCGACACTTACCTCAGGAACTTGTCTTTTGGAATGTTGCTCGTGAAATTGAGTTCTGGCCGAGAGGGCCCCTTAATGCTGGGGTCTCATTTATGGGTCTGACTCGTAAAGGCCCTTTTAAAATAAAGCGAAAACAAAAGTGAAAAGTGAAAAAAAAACAAAATAGTACGTGGGTGAGCACGCCATCTTTGGCGATTGTTTTTTTTCATGTATCATAGAGAACTCACAAAAAAACATTTCAAAAAGGAATAATAATATTTAGGCTAGGCTACCAGAGTGGCCCGGGTCCACTTTCCTGGCCGGGCCAAAAAGAAATACAGAAATAAGAAAACAAAAGTTATTTTTTACTTTAAATTATTATTTTAAATTTGGTAGAGAATTTTTTTTTTTTTCTATATTCTTCTCTCAACTTCTGTTTCTTTACCTTTCACTACCTACTCCTAAGACTATCTAGAGGGGACCCCTGCAAGCATAGTTTCCTCTCTCTGTGAAGGGGAGATTTCATGTTGCCCCTTGCCCCTAATGGTTAGGGTATAGGGTTGGGGCCGCCAGTGGGGGTCTGGCTAACATAAAGACCAAGACCTGCCAGTACCCTTCATCGAGTAGCAGCAGAGGCTATGGCCAACACTCTCCCACACACCACACACAACCCACTCGCGCTCACACTCACACCCGTGTTGGTCATAGACTGTTGCATGCTGCGCCTGCACACGCAGGCCATTTTCCAGGGCCTGCGTCCTTCAGGCCAAAAGCCTGAATTTCAGGCCCAAAGCCTGAAATCCAGGGCCTACAGGCCCCGTGTCTGTCCAGGCTCGAAAGCCTGAAATACAGGGGCCTACAGTCCCTGTGTCGTTTCAGACTAAAAATGGCAACAGCCTTTTTAGCCTGAAACGAAGGGCCATTTGCGGTCGTTCATCAGAACGACCGGCCCTCAGGCTGAAACTAAGGCACTGAACCAGGGTTTCGGAAACAGGCTATTATTAGCCTGTTCCCACGCCAGCTTCAGCAGCAGCTGCTGCTTCAGCCCCTGGCACACTTCGGCACTGGCAAGAGCAGCCTGCTCGGCCTGCCTCGCCCTGCAGGGCAGTCAGGGGGCAGGCCGAGGAAGTCATATGGACTTCCCAGGCACTTCAGGGGTAGTACAGTAGTCACTTGTAGTCTTCAGGATTCGGTGTAGTCTTCAGGAGCGCTGCAGGAGGCAGCGTTAGCAGTAGTCTCCAGCGCTGGGCGCTATAGCAGTAGTCTTCAGCGCTGGGCGCCATAGCTGTAGGTAGGCTGTAGAGTGGGAGAGAGATGGCTGGTGGAGACCAGAGGGACTTACCTGATGCGCCATAGCTCCAGCTTCACCTTCGAGGTACCTGCAGCAAGGCGACAGCTTCACAGGTCAGTACTGGACTAAGAGAGAGAGAGAGAGAGAGAGAGTTCTTCTTCTTCCTCTTCTAAGTCCACCATCTCATCTTCACCCTCTCGCTATCTACCTTCTTGGTATCTGCAGACTACGAGAGAGACATTGTGACTATGAGACTTAACGACATTGGATTCAGACTCGACATTGGGTTCAGAGTCTTCAGACACTTGATGAGGACTTATTTGGGACTTGCACAAGGACTTGGGTTGACTCCATCTCCCTCCCTCCTTCGTCTGTTCCCCCATTCTTCACCTGTGTATGATTGGGGACCTGGCGCACTTCTGTGTATGGCGCCAGGCCTATCTCACCTCACAACGATGATGATGAATGTTGGTCTGTAGCTCGACATTGGTAGGGATGGGTCACTGACGTCTTAGTATTCCGCTGCGCTATCTTCTGTTCTGTGTGAAAGGTCGGTCCTTGCTCTGTTCAGTACCGGCTCGGTATTTCACAGTTTGCTATCTCGCCTCTTCTCACATATATGAAGTATCATTGGATGTCATGACAGTCCCTGTCTAAGTTGGGATTCGTAAACCAGTCTTCCGCTGTATTTCAAAGTGCCACTTTGCATGTATGAGGATGAACATTGCTCGTTGATATTCCACTGAACGCTGCATTGTCATTTCGGTCCTTTTCATCACTTTGCGGATCCTTGGCTCATCTACATTGCCCAACTGGGCATGTAACATAGACCCTGCTAATACGGATCAGGGGTATCCAGAGGACTATCAGTCCGTTGGCACTAAGTTCGCCACAGGCGGCCATGGGGCTTGAACCCACAACCTCATTTTGATGTGACCCTGAGGCAAAAGTTGTTCAGTTTATTTTTCTACATAACATAGACATAGGATTCGTGAAAACCCAACAAAAAAAAAATGTTGGGTTAGAAATAAATCTATTGAGGATTCTGAGAGTACAGTTTTTAGGCTTTCTGCAGAAGCAAGATTCTTTGCAAAGTAAAAAGAACAAAAAAATAAAAATAAAAAAAATTGAGAACCACAGGAAGTGGCGAGGAAAAAAAAGAGTTTTTCCACAGTAATCACTACTAGGTGAAGCACCGTATATTTATAAATTGAGATATTCATTTTTTTAATTATCTCTAAAGATCATGTGTATAAGTTGTATATCACAACGAAGATGATCAAGGGTTTGGCAAACGCGTGAATGTGTTAGCTTGGGGGCAACTGGTCCAACTGGGCCCAACCGGATAATCCTGGTAGTGGGCAGTTTTAGCTGGTTCTAGTTTTGTTTTGCTCAGCTAGGTGCTTTGTTCGGGCCCTTTGGATTAGGTTAGTACTGGTTGGTACTAGTCCCGTTCCCTGCATGCCCTGTACTTTTGTTTTGCAAATCGGCCGTATAAATAGCAGTAAGTTAAACTCATGTCTATTTCCATCTTACCAGCTCTATACCCCTGATGATGGCCGGTGCTCTGGCGGCCCGGCCGAAACACGTGTACGGTGTTTCCGCCAGACACACTTTAAGTTTATGACGTTCGGCGTCTTCCATGGCGCTTCGCATCACTTTAATTTTCATTGTTCTTCATGTTATATTTTAAGCAAGATGCGCTCGGAGGTTCTTCTTCTTCTTTCTATCTCTTTCTGACCTGGTTGTTCTTCTGCTCTTCTCTTCCCCTATCTCATCTCTTTCCTCCTTATCTTTGCCTATTCACGCAATAAGTGTTTGCACTTACGCGTATCGTGTTGCTTTACTGCGACATACACGCAGAGAACCGTTGGGGTTTCTTACCCTATACGAGTGACTGCGCCTTATTTTTTCCTTCTTCTTCTTCTTCTTCTTTTCTTCTTTCCTTCTTCTTTCTTCTTTCCTTCTTCTTTCCTTCCATCCCTCCTTTCCTTCTTTCCGGACTTCCACCCGTCGTCTTCTCATCTTTTTCCTTTGCGCTAGATCATCACAGTTAGGGTCGCCTGACCCGACCTTTTCTGGATGTTTATAGTCCTTCTGTGAAGGATGTATCGACCGGGGGGTTGTCACTTTTGTCGTCTGCCTGGCTATTTCATCCGCGAGTGCCCGTTTCGGAATTGTCCGAACGGCGCCGACATGGCCGCAAGTATCCAAGGAGCCATAGGTAACGGATCGGGTGGCAATTGAAATGGTTTACTTCCGGTGTTGGCGTCTTCTTTGGGCGAAGCCTCTTCTTCTAACGCACTGGTTCCTCACCAAGCTCCGGTTAATCGAGGCTACAATGGAGGAGGTCACTACAGCGGAGAAGGCTACAATAGTAATAGCTACAGTGGGAACAGCAATGGGTACCGTACTTATCAGAACTTTGGAGGACAGCGTAGTAGGGGCTTCAACTCAGGAGGGGGTTATTAGGGGGGTAAAGGACTTCACGATTCCGATCATAGATTCGATAGGATTTACGGGCTCTTGGAGGAGCAGGCGGAGGAACTTGAACAGCGGAAGCTAGAGCTCGCTAAGTTAGAGTTGCTCGAAGCTGAGAAGAAGAAGCTGCAAGCGGAGGAGGAGAGATGTGCATGGGCGAAAAAAGAGAAAGAGCAACATGAGGCTAGATTAGGCAAGATTGTTAAAGCCAGCATGATAGCTGTCTGTAAATTTGTGTTGGGCAAGAAGGTGGACATTCCTGACAATGACGAATCGGATGTCGGTAAATTACGGCGTGAGCTTGAGGAACTAAAAGCCAGCTATGCGCGCGGACAGAAGGAATCTGCCATTGATGTACTTTGGAAAGAGAAGGAAGCACTGCAAATGGGGCGCGCTCAATGCAATGAGGATGACAGACTCAGAAGGGAGATTGATGAGCTGCACTCCCGGCATGAGCAACGGAGAGCAGGGGATGGCAGTGACAAGATTGCGGCCCTACGACTCTGGGTGCAAGAGATGGAGAAGGTTCGCACGGTCCTTGAGGAGAAAGGCACCGCACTTAGCTCCTTGAAAGCTGAAAACTCCAACCTCAAGAAGGACTTGCAAAACTTGAAAGGGGCCATCGACGAAATCAAGGGCGCTGACAAGAGGTCATCCGATGCCGTTGCGGAGACTTGTTCACCTACTGAACCTGCCAAGGGCAAGCAGCGTATGGTCCCCATCGGGGATGCTGTGTATACCCCCAACGATTTTGAAGCGCTTATGAAGCTGCATAAGGAGGCTCTCGCAGACAAGGAAGCATCCGATCTGGTGGTTCAGGCACTCAAGGAACGCATGGCGAGGATGGGCGCGCAGCTGTACAGCAAGCAATGTACTGGCGCTCGCCGATCATCTGTGCAGAAAACCAATCTGCGGAATCTGAGGCCTACGCTTAGTGCTATGCAAATCGATGAGGATGATTTTGACGGTAAAGACGTTCCGGAGGAGCAGCAGAAGACCAAGCCTATCAATGAAGTGGTGGATAATCCCGAGGACATTTAACGTCGCAAATTTTAGGAGGACTGTCGCAAGGAAATTCGGGCGGCCAAGAAAGCAGATATGGTGAAGATGTGCCTAGAAGAAGGTATCACATATATCAAGCTTGATCAATCTAAGGCTGATGTGGCGGAGATCCATGCCAGGAAGGGGTTCGCGGATTGGCTCAAGGATCGCGGGATTCAGGATGATGACGAGGATGAGGGAGATCAGCACTATAGCACTTCAGCAGAGGACGCTACTTACGAGTGAGAATACGCCTTGAGCGTATCTTATCTCTGGGATTCGGCGCTGTTCTTGCACGATTTTGGTCGTGATTTGTTGATTGATGTTTTTTCCTATGTTTTTCGATTGATTGTGATTCTTTGATTATTAAGTATCAGATTCCTTGGGGTGTTAAATTTCGAGATGTATTACTTCATTTGTTAAATAACGATTATGATTTCCGTACTTGTCCCGGGCCGATTGTATATATCATTGTGTCTCCTTGGTTCAAACACACTTACGTTGGGTGCACTACTAGGCTGTGTTACTGCGCGTTCATTGAACGCGTGTTCCGCGTTCATTGAACGCGCGTTCCGCGTTCAGTGAACGAACGCAGTGAACGCGCGTTCAATGAACGCGCCTGAACGCTATTGACGCGTTTGCGCAGAGGCGTTTCAGGGGTTGGGGGGGGGCGTGTAGGCCATTGGGGAGCCTTGGGGGGCCGTGTGGGCGAAGCCTGAGGGGGGG